CAACCAACCGACCAACACAACCAACCCAACCAACCCAACCAACCCACCAACCCAACCAACCCACCAACCCACCAACCCACAAACCCACCAACCCACAAACCCACCAACCCACAAACCCAACCCACCAACTCACCACGCCACCGGGTGGCCTCAACTTACCACGCCACCCACCCACCCACCCACCCACCCACCCAAACAACAACAACAACCAACCAACCAACCAACCAACCAACCGACCAAACCAAACCAAAACAAACCAAACCAAAACAAACCAAACCAAACCAAACCAAGCCAAACCAAACCAAACCAAGCAACCAACCAACAACCAACAACAAAAGACAAGCAACAACCAACCATCAACCATCAACAACAGTCAGCAATCAACAACAACCAACCATCATCCGCCAACAATCAACCATCAACCATCAACAATCAACAACCAACAATCAACAATCAACAATCAACGGTCAATCGTCAACAACCAACATTCAACAATCAACAACCAACAAACAACAATCAACAATCAACGATCAACAATCAACAAACAACAAACAACAAACAACAAACAACAAACAACAAACAACCAACAACCAACAACCAACAACCAACAACCAACAACAACAACAACAACAGCAACAACAACAAACAACAACAAAAAACAACAACAACAGCAACAGCAGCAGCAGCAGCAACAGCAACCACCACCACCACCACCACCAACACCACCAACAACAACAACCGCCGACGACGACGACGACGAACACGACCACAACCACAACCACAACCACAACCACAACCACAACCACAACCACAACCACAATCACAACAACCACAACCACAACCACAACAACCACAACCACAACAACCACAACAACCACAACAACCACAACAACCAAAATAACCACAACAACCACAACAACCACTACACACGCAACGCCGACCACGATGTCCACGACGACCAGGACGACCACGACGACCACGAGACCACGACGTCCACGACGACCACGACGACCACGACGACCACGACCACGACAACCACGACGACCACGACGACGACGACGAAGAACACCGAACGACGCACCACGACGACTCGACGGACCCACGACGCACGCGACCACGACGCCACGACACGACCCCACACACGACGACCAGGACGACCACGACCACGACGACCACGACGACCACGACGACGACGACCACCACCACGAGCACGACGACCACAACAACCACGACAACCACGACAACCACCACGACCACGACGACCACCATGCAGGACAACCACAGTGACAACCACGACGACAACCATAAGCACAACCACAAGCACAACGACAACACAACGACAACGACAATCACAACGACAACGAAAACGACATCGACAAGGACGACGACACCACCACAACCACCACAACCACCATCACCACAACCACCCTTCACCACCACAACCGTCGCATCCCTGCTTCCTCCCACCAACCTCCCTCTCGCGCCTCCTAACTCCTCCGCCATGCGCTTTCATCGAAATACCATGTCCTTTCCCCCCTCTCAGGCGTAAGCCCCAATATCCGGCAACCGGCCATGTACACGCGGAAGGCAGCAATCCCCGCAGGGGCTAGGAAACGGCGACCCACCCTTGCCGCTGGACCTCGTCATACCCTGTAATTTACAGGCGGCATAAGCCTATATTTTTTCCACAAGTAACAAGTATGGCATGCAACTGGCAATTCTACCCTATAGATTTCTTTCCCAGGCCTCACGCATGGAGCGTTGCTGGAGTTCCGTAGCTGCAATGCCCTGCATTGGCCAGGACAAAGTGTATGATCCTGTCTCGCCACTGCTCCATTTATCCATTGAATGGACATACTGGAAAATTGGGTTGGCCACCCCGAATTTATTGATTTTTCCCGAGGTCCCCCTTGCTATATGCAGAGCACAAATACCAGAGTAAAATTCCAGTGACAAAAACTGGAAAAAATCTTTCAGACGTCGAGGAGGCACCTCCAATCGGCGCTCAACTGCTGCCAGGTGGCGGCGGATCCGATCCACAGGCGCCTCACACACAGTGACGCTCTTCAACACGCTCTGAAAGTAAACCCAGAAGTCCAGGACTGATGGACGGCCCACACTGTTCTCACACATGTCTCTTGCTACGAAGCTGCTTGGCCACTGCTCCTTTTCATGCAAATATTTCAGAAAACCTCCTGGCACAAGGGTGTAACCTGAGGAGGCCCCAATCTCCTTGAATCTAGAAACGTGCAGAATCCAAGCGTTTGGATTTTTTCTGCGATTTAATTCTAATCACATGGCCGCCATGTCTCCATTATGATCGTTTAGGGTAGCTGCCATTGTCATTAATGAAGCCGGTGTCACTGGTGTCAGTAAGGAAAACCAGCCGCTCCCCCAGCCACCACACCGCAGCTTTGAAACAAGTTTTTTGGTTTGGGAGACATTCCTCTTTTGGGCATTGCCGACGCCTCCACGACTCCAAACTGAAGAATATATTCTTGGCCCGAAAGAATGCAGTCCAAAGCTCCATCCCCACACACTTTTCGCCCACCCGTCATCAAGCCATCCGCTGACGGCCAAATATCACGCGACGGCACCGCAGTGGTAGACTCGGTAGCATGCAGCAAATTGGGTGCGGAGCCCTCACCGCCCTGACTCAGCTCAACTACAGCTGCAACGGAGCCAAAGCTCAGGGAGTCCCGCTCCAGCTGGCAACGCCCCAT